AGACGGAAAGATCCTCGGGGCTGTGCGATTCTCCAGAGCGCGCTGCTGCCGCTGCTGCTGCCGCTGCTGCTCCTGCTGCTGCTGCGGTTGCCGTCTGGAGAAATAAATCTTCGGCCTTGGGCTCTACATCACCGGCGCCTTGGCAAGCAATTTGGGCCCCGGCGATAAGTTATACGTGCATCGATAGCGCCGCGGCAATGTATGTGCGCCAGCGCCGTTGCCGCTGCGACTCGCGCGCGCGCATAGAACCTACGCGTGCATAATATATTACCTATGTATACGTCTGCGTATAACGCGCGCCGAGCGGGGGCGCGAAAAGTCCTGTGCTTGAGTCTGCGAAGGAAAAGATGTTATATGGCCTCGATAGTCGTTCGCCCGTGCCCCCAAGCCCGTGCCGTGACGACGAATCACCCTAGTTGGCTCTCTCGCGCTTTCTCAACAAGAGCCCAGCCAATTTTTGTCCTCATTTGCATGTGCAAATTTTCGCGGAATATATGAAAGTATATGGAGTGGAACTAGGATAGCGCGCCGCCGTCGCTATATCGCAACTCATCCGGCCGCGGCTTCTTACGCTCGCACTCGCGTTGCTTTTCTCCGCTTATTTCACAAATAATTATTTTTCATTCTCTCGTGCAGCTCTTTTAAGCTATTTCTCAGTCAGTTATAAACATTATGCTCTGATTTCGATCGTTTATTCAGTTTGGTAACTACATCAGACTCGAGCAACAATCGAACTCGTGCTTTTCAAAGAAAAACGTAAAGAGAAAAGAGAGCAAGACTTCCGTCAAAGTATATATAGATTTGACGCATACATCTACCAGTGCTTTTTTACGTGCGTGCAACTCCAAGAGATCCTTACATGGGTTAACCGTATACGTCTTTGCATATAATTAGGAGGGCATTGAATTGCGACCCCTTCGGACTCTTTTTCAATGAGCGGGCTGCCAGGATGGGATCGTAAAGCACTCACGCAGCAGAAAAATATCGAGGGAGATTTTTCTAACGCTAGGCCTTTCTTTCAATGAAACTTTCACTAGATTTTAAATGATCGTCTTAGTTTTACGAGACATTTTTAATTTTCCTCTTCATTCTTGGAAAATATTTCAAACTATTATTCAAATATTCAAGTATCTTCACGGATGAAATTCTGACATTGATACTTTTTAGTGCAGCCAACTGAAACTAGGATGAACGAGGTTCGCTGCAAGTAATCCAATCGAGCAAGTCAATAGAGAAGTACAATGATGAGCGAAGCAGGTAGCGATCGCGGTATATTGTGTGCTGGCATGGTGGGCATCGTGGCGAGGGTATCGATGATAAATTATTGCGCATTCAGATTTTTAAGGTCTAACGAGGGTTCGAAATTTGAATATCCTTTTTCGTCGTGAATTTTCATTCTCACGGGCTCTTGTCTCTCTCCACGTAGCTCGACTTTTGCTCCCTCTCTCTCTCTCTCTCTCTCTCTCTTGTGCTCTCCTTTTCTCCTCGTTGATTCTCTTGCGCTTATATACCTGAGGCTGGTTCGGTATGACCGTGATTTGATTTATCGAACGATTTCGTTCGACATCTATGCGTACGTGCATACATTAAAGCACCTCTATTCAATCCCTTCGCAGTCGAGTTTTCTCTCTCTTATTCTCTCTCTCTCTTTCTCTCTCTCTCTCTCTCTCTCTCTCTTTCAATCTCTTCTCGTTCAGCTCGACTGTCGTGTCGTTGCTGCAGTCAGTGTAGTCGCAAGATTAGAAGTTTGAAAAATTTGTTTCCGTTGTGTCAGATGCCAATAGCAACGTTTTGTGCGCCTTACGAATTTTCGAGGAGCATATATTTCAAGTTTTCTTCATATTTACATATGATATATACATATTTCTTCATTAAACGATATGATGTCGAATTGCTAAAACAATATTGTGAATGTTCGGCTAGAATGGGTTTTTCGAGTAATTAAAATGATTTTTTCCATTAGGATCCTAAACCGAATTTATTTAAAGAGTTGACCGATATTTCAGTGATGTTTTATACCATATTCAAGGCCTAAAGGTCAAATGAATGTTACATTCTTGTCAAAAAATTTGATACGCAATAACAACCCACATTAGAACAAAATACTTTATATGCTGTTAACGTCATTTCTAATGGGAATCGTCAAATGTATTAATCGAAGTTAAATACGTCAAGCAAGGGTAATTGACAAAATTCTTGCAATAGCAAAAAAATATGTTACGCTTGACCCATACATTAATAAATTTTTTTTATTCAAACGACAATCTTGTATTTTACCACGTAATATATATTTAAATCTAGGAATGCTTTATAAAATATCAAGTAAATAAATTATGACTCTATGAAAAGCAACGAACAAAATTTGTCAAGCGAAATACTGGTTAAACTGCAACAATTAATAGCTGGCTATTTATCGGGCACAATATTTACACGAGGCATAATGGTGATTTGGCATCACGTTTTGAAAAAAGATAATGTAAATAACGCGATGGCGGGGGCGAGGCATTAGAGAGAGCGGGTGGAGGCAAAAATTGATGCACGATGGCTACCCACGAGCTATCCTTCCCCCAATACGTTGTTGAAAAATAATAATGCTTCGACGTCCCCTCTCGTCCCATTGACGAGTGAACGGCTGCTGCTGCTGTACTGTTGCTGCTGCTGCCACTGTCACCCCACGCGATGCTTGATTTGCATGTGCGTTGAGAGAGTTCTCGTCTGACAAGCGGCAGTTTTTTTCCATATTTCTTGTGGTGCGCGGGTACGTTTGCCGACAGATTGAACAATCCTAAATCGCTTTTTCATCATTTATTTAATATAATTAGTTTTACCATTTGTAGGTGCACTTTGTGGTAAGTTATTTTTTTTTTTTTCACTGTACTAACTGATTTTTCTTATAAATGTAATATTGACTTTTTTAACTTCAAGGTTTTGTAATTTTATCCAATTTATCTAGAATACTAACATAAGGTAGATTTATTGTAGATTAACAAGTAGACTTTACAAGTTAGAGCATGTGACTTTTAAAGCAACAAAACTTGAGCTTTTACATAACTCCATATAAGCCATTCAATGAAACTTTACGGATTCAATGATATATTCATAGACAAAATGAATCTAAATAAAATATAGATATGCATTAGAAGCAGGTTTCTTTTCACATCAGCTACCACTCAAAGAAATAACGACAGCGCAATCAAGTGCTAGCTTAAATAGAAGTGGCAGACATAAAAAACGTCACCCTCATACCCTGCTTTGAATTAATAAGTAAAATACAGATATTTCAGGAATATTAAGATTATATATTACGGCTTTTTTCCTAGTTTTGTCAGCGCTTTAAATATTTATGCATTTGAAAAATTTTGTATAGTATTATTAATTGTGTAGGTACATAAAATATTTTCAATATTTCCGATTTAGACAGAAATCAGAAATACCATTTAAGTAGTTTTCATAATCTCTCACTAATAATGAGCAGTATAAAAAATATAATAAATAAAATTTTGAATACGAGAAAGCATACTGTTCAGACATTTACAATTTTTTTATAACATAATCTGTACATATCGTTAATTGGAACTATATCTATTGAAAAATATATTTATTCAAAAAATGAAAGATACTACATTATATTATTATGGAATTGTCGAAAAGTTTTATGAAAAAGTAATTACAATTATCTACTCAACTTTGGTAATAGTAAATACTTCAGCAAAAATAATAAATAAACTTTTTTATCACGAATATTAGCACATTTTAAGAAGATGTCAGTTGACATGTTCACGTATAAGACATAATGGAATATACCGTTTGAAAGAAAAACAAGGACAAATGTGATGTCCGATAACTTTTTCACCTTATAAAACTTCACAGATTGCTAACAAGTATTGCAGTTCTTTCATGAACATTTCTTAATGAGTTTAAAAATAACACAACAGAAACGTTATTCGATATTTTTGTCAATATCTAATCAATAATCGATAATTAATAAAACTTATCTGACAAAAACATTACTTTTAATTGGAAAAAAATCTTTTTATTATTATTCATTTATTATTCAACCATTGACCAAACAATATTGAATGTCAATGCGTTATTTCGAGATTTATACTCCAAAGGCTAGTGGATACAACCCCTGACTTTTTAATTGAGAAAAAATCCAACTCAAGCCTAAACATATTAAGCATAATACGAAAAATACTATCTAAGCTAATGCAACTCAACTTTAGTATAATAAAAACTATTCATTTAGAGTTTAGTTAAAAAAATAAGACACAGGACACTGTTCTTAACACACATGTCGTATTGCTTATCATGGTCGTAAAGCTTTGTGATAGCATTTCTTATCACGATGATCCTTGCTTGTAACTACAACGTGCCATATCACATGGAAGTAAATACAAAGGAAACTAGATCTACCACATAGGAAAGACAAGCACGATCAACACGTTAGCACCTAATGACGATTTATTAATTACTGAAGCAAGCTTAACAAGGCTAGTCCAGTCTTCTATAGGATGCGGGAGGCGCTACATGAGTCGGCCATGTTGACGCCTGCGTAAAAGCGGCCACTGTATGGGGGAGAAACGAGGGTTGCGAAACTTGTGCGCCGAAGCGAACTGGCTAGGCGGTTCTTATGGAGTCCTACTATTGATGTATGTACTTCTTCTAATTTTTTTATTTTCTCTAAAACTCTTCAGTTTTTCCATATTGGTTTTTCCATATTTAAATACGATGAAAAAATTTTGTTTTGTGAAGTTTATACGGACAAGAATTGATTCGTAAAAAGTTAAAATTATTTCATATACTTACAAACGTTTCAAATGCAATTTAATAGCAAACGTAATTCTTTTAATTATAAATATACATGTCTCCAATTAGCTCTTTTCGTGCATATTTACACGAATCTTTGATTGTCAATGCCATCTGTAAAGTATATTCCACTAATTTGATGTGAGTAAAAGCTACATCGTCGATGTGAATTGTTAAAAACAATAATCCATGAAATAAAGAAGTCAGTGTACATTTGAGAAAAAGTACAGAAGGAATGTTAGTTCTCGTTTCATCAAATGCAAACATACAGCAAGTTTGAAAGCAACAAAACACATCTGCCCGGCTTATAAAGTCGACGAGAAGTTATCATCCGTGATTTTTGAACTTTCAACGGCAGCTCTGCACAAGCTCGAAACAAAAGACATCTATAACTCGAGGGCAAGTTGAGGATCGGTGTGGGTGTGTACAGCTGTAGGCAGAGGTTTGCAAGTGTTGCGAGCGAAGTAGCGAGAATCGAGTGAGGTAATTCGGGAGAAAGTTTCTGCGTGTGAGAGGAAAGCGCGCGCAGGCGGCTTTTCAGTGTACACACCACAAGGCCTACACGTGTGCGCGCTCTCGCTGTTGGAGCTTGGAGTAGGAGCGCGCGGAGGAGAAGATAGGACGCCCCCGAGAGCGCACGGCGTCGCGACGTTCGACTGTACAGTTCCCATCAGACGGCTTCTCGAGATGGCAGGATTCGCTCCCGCTCTCATAGCTTCAGTCCTTCCTCCGACTCCGTCCTGGCACGTCACCCTCGTGGTATCTCATCCCCTCGTCTATCCTACAATTCTGTCCATCCCCGGTAAACTGACATAAACAAAGGCTAATGTTACTCGTACTTGTACTACTCACAGCTGATTTTCATTCTAACTTTTTCACTTGAATTTACATTTATTATTTTTTAGGCAGTACACGTAAGCGTAAAGCCCAGAAAAAAAATAACCGTCAAACAAAAATGCACTTGGAAGAAACAAATCCTCTCTATATCATCTCCTTGAAACATTATCTTTGAATCTGTCACGTGCTCGGCGAGTCGAATGGGACTAGTTTCTCGATTGCTAGGAATGGATTGAGTACTGAAATAATTATCTAATACATTCGGTATCTATTATAAAGATACTGTTCCGTACGAGGTGGCGAGGCCCAACGAACAATAGCGTCAATCCACATCGGGAGAACGCACGTGAGTAAACATTATCCTAACTAAATGCAAGAATTTTACATATAATATAACATTTATTAGACTTGTTCAAAAATACGTTGCACTTATTTACACACCGCATTACTCTGTGCGTGATCGCATATTCGGCAACCGTTACAACAGACGTCAATTTGCGATTGATGTGCATTTTCCGAGCGCCGGCACTATCAATCTCATTTACTTATTCGATACACGCGCGGCGCGGGGTGTTCTTTGAGCGCGTTGTGTGTTTTGAAGAAGAAGTAAAAAAAAATCAGTCGAAAATAGCTGCGGAAACGAGTAGCGCAAATGCGTCGATAAGTGCATTACGTGTTCGCCGGAAACGGAACTTGAATTTTGAAAAGCGGACGTGACGCGGCCGCCGGACGCTTCGACGCGCGCCCAGCTCCCATACTATGTTCATAACTTTTGACGTTTGTTAAAAAATAACATTTTCGCTGAATTGCAAATCAACATTACGCGGGCTTTTTCTCGAATTATGAGAAACAACTTTATCTCCGAAATTAAAATTTTCATAAATATAGAAGCGAAGCTGCGCGTGACGAACTTATTAAAAAAACACTTGTCGTTAAACTGGCACTGTTATCTGGATCCAATTAAAAAAATGAAAATTAAGTTTCAAAAAGATGAAGGGTGAACTGAAGTGTAAGAAGTTTGAAGAAGTCGCGGTAACGTTGTCACTAGATCTGAAACTCTTGAGTACACAATGTTCCGTGGTGGCGAATAGATGGAAAGAGCGCGTGATCAATTACGCGATAATCACGAAAGGCTTAATGAGACTTGGCGAATTAATTAAGCTACGTCTGTGTGTGTGTGTGTGAGAGAGAGAGAGAGAGAGGAGAGAATGAGCAAGAGAGCGTCCAACTTGAGCGAGATTTCGTGCGAAACTGCGCGCGTTTCCGGTGACAGGCGAGGAACTCGCGGCGGGCTCGCCAGTGAGAGAATGAATGAATGAGCGAGCGAGACGGAGGTAGATTAAAGACACGAGAGTGGGGGAAAGACACCGGTTGCACTCATCAACCCTTCGCGGCCCCCTTACCACGCTTACAGCTCTCTCTCTCTCTCTCTCTCTCTCTCTCTCTCCCCCTGCCTGCCTGTATCTGCCACGCCTCGGGAGCCATTGTGCGTCCTGCATATATAATTACGCGGCCACGGACGAAGGTGGAGAAAACTGCCACCACCGCCGCCTCATTCTGCGACAGGCTTACAGATATACCTATATTCGCTTTCATTTAAGCCTCTGCTTTCCCTCTCTTATTCTACGCAGGCTCCCTCAGCGTACACGTGTACTCGAAGCAATTTAATTGCCCGCAATCCCATCTCCCACTCACTCTCTCTCTCTCTCTTTCTCTCTCTTTATCTTTATGCCGTGGCCCTGATTCCCTTTCTAGGTCAAGTTTTACTTTCCATTGGACATTTTTTTTCAATAAATACTTTTCTTTTATATCACGATGTTTCACGAATGAAAATTTGTACCTTCGTATTACCCATAGTGGCCATATTGAAAATGTGATACTCAATGTAACCTAGACGTTATTATTGTAAAATGATCCTTTGACGTATTTGTATTACTACAGGACCACAAAATGTGAAAATTAATTTTCAACTCTAATGAAAAGAACTGTTTAAGAATTAATTACGATTTCATACATTTTTCAATAAATGTATTATATAATTTTATAAAAATGCTAGTATGAACTATTAGTTTATTGATTATTTGGTCATTTTCATAAATTTCAGTAAAGTATATTAAAAACTTAATCGATTCGATCGTTCTCAGTCTGTTAGACAAGAGCGGGAAAAAGTCAAAAAATAAAAAAAACAGGAATCGTATTAGACCGTAAAAAAGAAGTTGCAAGGCCAGGTGAAATCTGCAGCGCATCTCTCGTCGCGTCATTAAACGCGCATCTAAGCGAATGCGGATGAACAGCCCACCGCATATGTTGCGTTTTGCCTGCTATTCTTCAGTTAGATAGCGCGCATATTATGGGTATATAGTGCGTGCAGAGCATATGCAAAGGGATGAGCAGGTAAAAAAATTATATCCGGATCCGGTGGACTCGCTAAGAGACGGATCCTCCCTTTTTATAAAATTGCACTACAGAATAGATACACGCTAAGTTGCTCTTTTTATTGTCTTTTTTTTCGAAAGTTCATCAATTTTTCTGAAAATAGAGCCTACTTGTTTCCTCTTTCGCGTAAAACTGTTCGCGTGCCGCCGCAGTTTTCGTTCGAAACGACTTGCTCAAATGACAAGTAGAATCGGGACGGGCACTGCATTACAAAAGGGGCGCACGGCTGCACACGCGTTATCAATGTTTTAAACACAAAGCTAAGAAAAAATTACGAGGCGCGAGAAAAGTTTGAATGGTTTGACATGCGCGAGCGCGAGTGCTTTCTCCCCGCAGGTAGACAATATTTATGCGTACCCTTTTTTCTCTGTAGGGAAATGCGTGCGTGACTAGGGGTGCTTCAGCGTTCTTTTTATTTTTTTTTTTTTTTTCACGTTGGGTAGTAAAAAATATGATAATCTATGCTTGGCTGACTGAGAAAAATATAATTCATTATGCGCTATACAAAGAGTTTACACGCGCGCACGGGCCTCTGCTGCCGCGACAAGCATACAGACACGCATCACCCGCCCGCTCGCTCTGAGCGAAAAAAGGGTTTCCGAAGGGAGGTTCGTGCGTACTGTAACTAGTGTGAGCTATAGATTTCAACTCGGGAAGCTTAGGCTTGCTTGTACTTCCAGTACGCGTACTAGACAACTGCTTTTAATTAATATATACCTACAGTTACCACAGGGGATTTTCTTTTGTTGGTGCGGATTCGACTCTCTACTCTTCTACAATATTTTAGCTCGTGCGAATGTCTCATTTGTCTCGAATACAAAGTCGAGCATTTTTGAAAAAAAATATATACGGCATTAAATTAGAGTCCCGTTTGAAGTAGTACAATAGCAATCAGAATTTTGCAAAAAGCAGATAAAAGACGTCGTCATGCAAAAGAGTCGTTACCGTAAATTCTTTCGTTGAAAATCAGCTTTACTCCAAGGTAAGTACCGGGCAAAGTGACTCGCAATAAAAAGCTGAAAAACAAGAAGACGAAGAAGAAGGACTTGTCAAGCGAACGGCCAAAAGCGCGCACTAAATTGCTACTCCTCGTTGTAATAGCCTCTTATCAAAGTGACCCCTTTAAATAGCTCCGCGATTATGCTAAACCAATCGAGATTCCATGCAAATTATCGTGTTCAATGCATGGGCTTTTGCGCGTAGCAGTAACGCACAGCGCGTGCTGCAAGCGCGCCTACAGCTCGGCGGTAATCCGAGCCGGACATTGAGGGACGCACTCGTCGTTTGCCTGCCAATAAAATCGGCCCAATAAAATGCAAACAAGAGCTCTTTCAATTTCATGCTCAAGTCGATAAACGGTTTCGTGATTTTCGTCCGACGACGACGACGACGCGACCGATTGCCGAATATCCGCGCGCAACAGAATCGGCAGGATACAGCATTCTATGGGTCTCGCGTGCATTGTTCCAGTCGTCAATTCTCGCGCGCGCATAAATCTACGGCTCATTTACATTTCAGGGAAGAAAGTTTGGCGAGGTGCGGGTGCATAGTGGCGCAAGTGCACATCTGAGCTAAAGATACGAAAGCCGATGTAGAAAAAAATTAAGCGAATTAGAACGCTCGTTCTTTCTCTCTCTCTCTCTCTCGAAGACGAGCATCGGCTCGTTCCACACATGGCGCGTGGAACGCTCTACCTTGTCTCGGAGTCTCAACCCCTTGCTTGGTTCGAACCCCGGCTGTGCTTCTCTCTCTCTCTCTCTCTCTCTCTCTCTCTCTCTCTCTCTCTCTCTCTCTCTCTTTCGGCTCGCAGCCCATATTTTAGATCTTATCCCCAAAATTATACGTCTGTCTGGCTGTCTGCTCTCGTGTTTTTCCCTCTTCTTCCTCCGTAGGACGTTGCCACTGATCCACGCCTGAGAACTAATCGCGAGACCAGCAACGCGCTGCTCCTTCTTCCTTTTCGCAGTCGTATGTCCTTCAGTCTGAATGCGCCCCGGCTGCATCGTTTCCTTCCTTCCTCCTGTTCATCTCCTTTTTTTGTGGGTCGACATTACGCGACTGTCTGATTTTGCTCCGTCGCCACTCTTGTTTTTCTCTGCTTCGGCCAAATTGCTTTGAAGATCGGTTACGCCGATAATGATATAGCTCGCCACCACCAGCCGAATTTCGAGCTTGCACAACTTTTATTTTCTTCTTTTTACGGCTCAACTCGGTAAGCTGTTGCGGTACGCTCTTATTTACTTTTTACGGTTTCGTGTAACTGTTTCGTCGAGCCGATAAGTTGCCATTAACAGGTGCTCGCTACAAACCTTGCACACACAAACATAACTGACAGTCAAGTTAATTGTTTGGCAGAGAGGTCGATAATGAAAAAATGCAGCCAAGTCGGACGAGTAGTTGGTTTAATTCTCGACACATTGTCGATTATCTCGGCAGCCGACAAGCAAAGTCAGTGGCAGTTATGAATAGCCGTTATTACACGGGAAGCCCGTGTAAACGTATATTCAAAATAGTAAAGAACGCGAGTAAGCAACAGCTGTGGAAAAAATATGCTTCAGTGGTCCTCGAGAGAAAGAAGGCTACTTAGCTGATTTATGGGTAAATAACCCTGCCTTTTTATACAACCCTTTTATCTCTCCATCCCTCCTTCCGCGCGTACACTAAAGTATCGGTAGAGATCCTCATTCTGTGCTCCATAGTGGGGTAATCGTATGCATTTTAGGCACTTTCACGCTGGCTCGACGCGCGCACGTAACTCGCCCATAAATTTCGATTACTCGCGTTATTTTATTTTGTCAATGCCGTGTAAAAAAACTTGGAGCGCGAAGTAGTTATATATCTATATAAGGGGACTATGCGTCCAAAGGGGTTGCCTCGTCGAGCTGCAGACAATGCTCGCTAGATATGTCG